CTTATCTGCTGGAAAACAGTTTTTTTAGTTTGCCTTTGAAATACATTTTTCATTTCGTCTAATATTTTTAAAATTATTTTTTTCTGCCTTAGTATCATAACTTTATACTTTTTAAACCCATAAGAATTATACGAGCCAACGGTGCATTGTGTTTTGTGTGTGTGTTACGTATGAGTCTCAGTGTAAACAGCATCAACCAGTTGATCTTTGTAATAAAGATATTTTTTTTGAGGTTCGGCTTCAAAGGGTTGAGATGCGATAACAAAATACGAAGCAGTTCAACGTCCTAAATCAGCTTCACAGACTCAAGTTATCGACGTTATGTATTTTGCGTTCCGTACGAAACATAATTAGAGAATTACAATAGTTCTTCATCTGTTGTTATAGTACTGCATAAAGAATTACAGTGAAGCACAATTGCCATTCTCCATGGTAATAGTTTTTGCAATCAAATCGTTACATCATTGGTGCAAAGTAAAATAACTCCTCAAAATACTTTAAAAATTATTCAGTCATTCCAAAAGCGCTGATAAAGACTAAATACCCATTGCTTTCAGAAACAAATACACTACATTTCTTCGCCTGATTTCACCATTTACGAGCTAGTGCTATAATAACACATTTCGCTGACTATCCGCAGCTCTGCTACCAAGATTACCTTGGACCAATGAAAATGGAAGATATCATATACAAATATTAGGAGATATTTTTTCTCGTCTCTCTCATTCGCTCTCTCACAGGCGAGATAAGAGCCAAAAAATAAAACATGAAAACAGTATGACATCCGATCTGTCATGTTTCATTGCGGCCGCGGCCATCTTGATCTTACAGCAGGCTCAGTAGTTGCTTTGTACAAGTCGACCGGATATAATAATGGGACGGGATTGACAAAAACTCATGAATCATATGGCTAGCGCTGTCATATAAAATAGAATATTACCAAAACCAGTTCCAGGATAAGACAAGACGTGAACTGTAATTAGCTCATACTAGGGCCATATTTAATAATAACACGAGCAGAAATGTGTATTCCAACTTGAAGTTGAAGTAGAAAAATGTTAACCGAATGACAGACTTATAAGATACTTCCCTTCGATACATGGAAAGAATGTCTGAAACCCGATTCCTGAATTTACTCTAGCAGTATAAAAACCGGGGTGCAGACGATGCCAGGGACCTCTGAGATAAAAATGGAAGAAACAGGTTCAATCCTCGTAATTGGGACAGGCCAAGAGCGTGGTCCGTGATGCTGATGATGATGAGTTATCGACGTTCATGATTTCTTCAACATTGAAACCACGCCAATAACTTTATTTGAAATACAAGTCACGTTTAGGACACATGTAACAGAGTTAAAAAGCATTCAAGAAACTTTCTGTTGTCACGAAACCCAAATGACCATCAACGTGATCACAAAAGCCAGCCTTTTGCCATTGTTTTCAGTATCCATCCTATCCGCATCTCATGGTCTACACCTAATCAACTCAATTTCATAAGTTTTCCAACTAAAATCTTGTATTTCCATTCAGCATAGATCTTGAAAACTTTTGCCTATTAAAGAGTAATATTCAGTTCTCACATAATATCTGGATTCTTTGTCTTTTACCTATGTGTATTAAGTAAAGTGACGAGAGTTTTGCTAAGTGTTTACTCTTTTCTCGCCAGATCTATATCACAGCAGAGCAGAGGCCCATAAATACATGTTTGTTGCATTTGGGATGTTTCCAGTTAGGACTACACACGGGTAACAATTCATCCAGTGCTTGCATGCGCCTGTAAACATTAATTTAATTTCTGCGCGGTATATTTGTAACTGTTATTATTACAGCACGGGGAGGCCTTTCGTGGTTTTCCTCAGTTCATCCAAGTAAATACTGTGATAACTTGTAAAAGGTCACTGCAGCTGCCTTACATAGGCTAACCTGCGGAATTAAACTTGTATAAGCATTATTATTTTCGACGGTATAATTAAGTGCACTTTCAACGGTTGAATGCCGAATTGCGTAATAAAGTATCTGAATAGTGTGAAGATGACAGGTATTATGCCAGATGCTATACTGGGGAGACAAACTTTGGGCTGAGTGTGACACTAACAAATCACTTACATCCTAATGGAAATGTGACGGAAATACATGCCACTTCTACATGTAGTGCTGGTAAACCTCAACTGTGATGCGTACATTGTGGATGTTGAAACCGTCAATGGAGAAATATTGCGAGATCGGTTTAAAGCCGAATATTCAAAATTATTGCATGATTCATCGTTTCTCTTTCAACATTTCAACTATCTGTGTTATTGTTTGCTCCTCTTTTAGTTTATTTTATGACTCCTTTCCAACTGCGTACGTTTTTAAGCGTCGAATAAGAGGACAAATGAATTATGAAGTGGGAAGCATGTGAAGATACGTGGTAGTGGCCTATTTAAGGTACATCACGGAGTTGCCTGGAAGGACTGAAGAAAATCACGGAAGGCTAGTCAATCTCCGGGATAAGAACCAAACCCGGTACTTCTCTAATACGAGGGCTAATCAACCAACCTCGATGTTCACTTGTTTTCATTGCAAATTTAATTGCGAGTAAAACAGGCAAAAATTTTGGTTGGAAAGCCTCACTACTCAGAATACCTAGGCGTAGATGGGAAAATAATAACAAAATGGATCTAAAAATTGACTGGGTTCTTCTGGCTCCTGAGAACAGGGGTAGGTGGCGGGCTCTTGTAAACAAGGTAATGAACATTCGAAGTCTATAAAAAGCGAAAGCCGTGATTTCTCGATTAACTAAGAAACTATCAGCTTCTAAAGAAGGATTTTGTTACATGGGCTTCGATGGAGTCAGTTTCGTTAGTGAAAATGGCGAAGTTACAAGGAATATCTTCTTCTTTTTTGAAGGAAAGGGATAAATTACTTATTTGCATTTCTTACAGCAAGTCTAAGACTAAAAATCATTATTAGATTATACAGCCTGTTACGAAATGCGATTGTTGGCCGTGCGCTGCACTGGGGCACCCTACATTGTCCCTTTAAGCAGTTCATCGCTGTTCTTGACAGAAGTGTACTTCTTTCCAATGCTGAGGAACATACAGTAGTGTACGAACATAAGTGCTACTTAAGCTTACAATACTAGCTCATGGTTTGTAGATGTTAGTTTCCAGGAATGTAATATCCCGACTAAGCTTCCTCCCCGTTTTCCTTAGCCCCTCAAAGCGAATGGCAACTTAAAAGTACGTGTAGACGACTCGAGCTTGTCTCGTTGTCTCCGTAAATGTGGACGGTTTCACGAGCCCGAGAAGCGCGATCAACCTTAGTCATGAGCTCGAGAGTTCAGTGCATTTTCGGTATAGTAGCTCTCTTTACACACCGACAAGTCACCTTAAGTTTCTGCAACACGAGTACAAGAAGTCTACACGCACCTTAAAATATATCACCATCAGCGGTTCAATATCCCGCCTCATCATTCATAATAATTCGACCATATCTGAACTTATCTTCGGTTTCTATAACTGTATAAAGCAACGTCACGCTTTTTAATGTCGCCATACTTAAATATGAAAGCCACGTGCGTTACAGACACACGGTAAATTGACATGTGCGATAGGAAATTAGCAGGTGCACCGTGTACACTGAGTGTGAGTGACCACAATCTCTCTCTGGTACAGCACGGTATTGTAGCTGACGTCATCCGACTGTCTGCAATCCCTAAAGCACCACTTGTCATTCATCACATGGTGATGGCAGCAACGCATTCATCTACCATGAACAGGCCCATGGAAACAAGTGAATTGTGAGTTTTCAGATTCTCACGGCGGCGAGAAGGAACATGACAGCCGTCTAGGATATTGCCCCGTGTAGTCTCGTAGAATCTGACCGATGTTTCAGAGGTACTTATTACCTCCATTATTAGGGTGATGATAGTGTTAATGAAGTTTGTTGATTGTCTTAATTTTCGACCCATGAATTTTCTATGGCCATGGTTTGCAAGAACGCGAAGACAGGCATGTGCTTTTTCAAACGGTCGAGATGTAAGGACGCCCGGTTCCTATTTCTGAAGGCAAACGTCATTACATAAACTGGAATATAAAATACTATGGACTTTTTAATTTTATCATGTTGGCTATTCAGAAGTCCCACATTTGTATGTTTTCTCGCAGGAGCAATTTTCGATCCATATGCCCATTGTGGCACCTAGAGCTATGACCGACTGTCTTCGTCGTGTGGTTAGCACACCTCTTTCACACACATAGAATGTTCGTGGTTTGATCTCGGCCCGGAGACAACTATACTGATTCAGAATGTTCCTGATGTCCTCAGCCACCCCACCCCCCACCCCCACCCCGGAAAATTTCCGGAACAGAACCTTAAAAGACGTGAAGACCGCTTCCTTCCAGACAATTTCCTATTCATTATCCTGCCGTTTGGTGCTTATAATATTTGCAGATAAAATCGTTGCTAAATAACCCACGAATAAGTTAATCAGTATCTCGCAAACAAAATTTTCAAAAATGAGGGTTACTTTATGCTTCCTCTACTCTTTTATTTTGAAATTATTTGCGACATATTTTAACAAAATTAAGCGTGGTTACTTCTTCTAAGACGCATAAAATCGGTGTATACTAAACGATAAAATCCAGAATTACAATGTTATTAGAAGACACGCTATTACACAGTAACTGCAAATTGCCGAAACAAGAAATGACAGAGCAGGTAAGGATTAAGAAAACTGGATTATTTCCTGGTGTGAGAAGAAACTTGGCTTTCTGGGAAAGGAAAACCTGTGACACGGAAAATAAAAACCAGTTAGGTAATAACTGCAAATTTTAGAATGAGTCCTGATAAGAGAAAGTTGACAAAACAGAAGTCCTCAGATAAAAATCAGAAGAAACATGGGAGATTGAAATTGAAAGGACAGAGATATAGATTTTCTCTTGTAGGACGTTAGGGCTTATTTTTGGTAATATTTCATTATAAGAGAAATGTGTAATTCTTATGGGCACGTACTTTCAGCTGAACGTAGGCCCTACTCAAGTCCGCTTCTGAAACAGGTTGGGAGGATCTACCGCATTCCATTGCATCTCAAAATAAGTTACGGAAGAACTACCATGATCCTTTTACAATGAACTTAGCAGGGGAGCTCGTGCCATACACAGCCTCTGCCACAAGAAATGCTGACACATCCCTGGGATAACAAAGGGACTGTGTAGCAATCTGAAGGTAAGTTGCCTTTTTCATTACGAATCATCATTGTACAGTTAAACCTCATTAATTGTCGGTCGGTATTATTCTGTTTACGCAGAAAAGAGATTCTTTCTAATTTTTACTCTCAATGTAAAAATTCACATTAATTTTTTATTTTCGTCACATTTGTGTCCTCATACCAGGATGCTGAGGAGAATATTTGCAGCTAAGAGAAATAAATTACTAGGAGGCTGGAGAAAGTTGCATAATCAGGTGCTTCATAAGTTGCACCCCTCGCCAAATATAATTAGAATGGTCAAGTCAAGGAGAGTGAAATGGACAGAGCATGTAGCCTGCATGGGTAGAAGAGGAATGTATACAGAGTTTAGTAGGCAAACCAGAAGGAATGAAACCACTAGGAAGACTAGACGTAGGTGGGAGGATAATATTAAAATGGATCTTAGAGAAATAGGGTGGGTAGTATGGAATAGATTAATGTGGCTCAGAACAGGATGCAGTGGCAGGCTCTTGAAAACACAGTAATGAACCTTCTGGTTCCATAAAAGGCGAGAATTTCTTGACCGTTATTTTACTCTCAGTTTTTCAACAAATAAAACAAACTCCAGCCAAAACATTCCACAAAAAAAAGACTCCTCGTTAACATATTTTATTACTTTTTCAAGCTTCTTCGTACTTGCTAAATTCGATTCATTCTTTGTAAACAAGGCCATGGTTTAGAATTTCAGAGTGACGATTTAGACTCCAAGCACAATCAAGAAAAAGTGGAAGTGAATTCACTTAAAGTGAGCTTTCTTTCAACGAGATGGTTCTGTTCCATTGCTGCAAAAGCTGGCTGCTGGGGAACAAGAAAGTAGCGGTAGGCTATAGGACAACTGCCAACCAAACAAAATACCAGCGCCATTACTTCATTCCTTCTCATCTCCATCTTTGTCCCTCTTTCTGGATTTTTTCTTTATCCTTGGTTTCGATCATCTCACTGCGTCACAGCTCCAAAGACTACCTCCCCAAGTGCACTCATACACACAGTTCTCTGTTTGTATTTTCCTGCACAACCTTACAATATCATTAACGACCCCATCTGTCCAGTCTTCTTTGTTACATAAAACGCATTTGTATTTATGGATATGCAATCGATAATATTTAAATTCTACTCCGTTGTAAAGCTCTAAGAGTTGCAACAGAACAATGATTTTGTAACTTTTCATGTCCGATCTTCTCTAAAGACATTATACAAATTAACGGACTTCACAATAAATGAAAGTGCTTGTCACGTACCAGTAAAAAGTGTTATATATATCGACTATTTTACCAATATAATAACTTTTGAAACCGCGCCATTCTTTTGTATATACCCTATACATTGGCTGATCACAACAGCGTAAAATAGTCAAACTCTCGTAAAGATATAAGCTTAGCCATACCTCAGTGGTTTAAAAATTGGATTATTGTACGGACGCCCATCATAAAACAATGAGAATAAGCATAAGTTCATACAAATTTATACCACCCTTGCCCCAGATAAATATCCATTTATGTCTAGATAATCGATATCCCCGTAGACATTCGAACCAGTTACCTTCCGAATACATGTCGAGAGCATTACAACTCCCTCAATAAAATTACTAAGTCCGAAACGAGAAGCAAATGCATACTTCACGCAGATAACATCATGATGTAACAAACAAACAAACAAACAACGCTGTACTTCTGGTCTTTCTTGGAAACTGCGTAATTTATATTGAAGACAAACGTCCGGCGTCTTACTACCAGGAGCTCAAATGATGCAATAGCTCATGGAGTACAACTGATTCAACGAGCAGGTTGGTATACCGAAAATTACAAACTTGTAGGAACTATTTTATGCTTTTACCGGCTTCCCAAAGCCAATAACGAAATAATACGTTCAGAACAGGCCACGACTACCTGCATATAAATCCTTTAACTCACTAACCACACAATCTTTTCACTTCATTCGAAACAGCGGCGTTAAGTAATATTATAGTAAAGTAGTTTGTGAATTTACATTCTAGTAAGAGATAATAAGTGTGCATTAGACAATAATAACAGTTATTAACTAAATGCTGCTACACGATTGTCATAGACGACAAAAGTTAAAATTAAAAAACGAATTAATGTTTTTGAAATGGCTGCTAAAGAAGTAGAAAAAATAGACGGTGGGTCTAGGCAGCTACAGCTTGTCGCGTCTTCGGTCCCAAACTCGAAACCACCTGTCACCATAAACATTCCCAGCCCCCAACAGAAAGAGGGAGATGGAAAATCGCTCTAGCGACCAGAGCACGGATCCCCATGCCAGCAGCTTGCATGTCAGGGGGAATGAATGATGCCTGCTAAATATCGGCTTGGCTTGGCTTGGCTCGACTCGACTCGGCATGGACCACGGCAAAGTTACATCTTTGCAGAGAACAAGTGGCTCAGTCATACTGCAAAACCCAGTCTAATTTCTTATAATTCTTCTTGTTTCTACCTAACATCATATTGCATGATCTTCCTTTAGTGAGATTCCAGGTTCTCAGGGCGGCGAGCAAGAAGATGGAAGTTTTCTGGGTTGTTTCAGACGTACTTGCTGCTTCCATCATCAAGGCGCCATCTAACGCCCGCATACTTCTACCTGACTACAGAAGATAGCCATTCCTTCAGTAGTTTTTTCCAGCTGCTGCTTTTATAAATTCAGAAGTTTCAATACCAAACTGTCAAATAATTCATTTGCTTTTCTTTTACGTTTCGACTTTCACACTAATTTTCGGGATTTTTTTAAATTGAAAGGACCAAATGAAGATAAAAGGCAAGCGAGGAACTTCGTGATTTATGCAAGTAACCTAGTATTGTTACGACAGTGAAATACAGAAGGCCACGATTGGCTGGGCGTGATGCTACAATGAGCAGAACAAGGAATGCATACAGAATTTTAAAGGAGAAACACTTTCAAAACTTTCCCGAAGAAGACGGAAGAGGTAATCGGAGAAGAGCATTCGAATAAATGTTAGAGAGATAGGATCTGAAGAAAGGAGGAGAATGGAAATGACTCAGGATCATGTCTAACTGAGGGCTTTGAAACTAATGGTGTTGAATCTTGGGGTCCTGGCAATTCGACGCTATATCATGTTTGAGCAAGTCACACGTTTTACAGCAATGCTAAACCTGCTATGTAACAGAGGTATGAAAATATAAACGCAAGACCCCGTTTCCTGTTTAGCTATCACATCTTCCTCTTCAAGGTCCTACTGTTGTGCTGATACGGACAATTTTCTTAACCTGAGTGAACATTTTATCCCTGCAAGCGAAGAAAGCCACGAGAAATATCGCTTCGAAAACTTATTTTGAACATCTAGTGGATACAAACCAATGAGCATAATTTTGTAACCTCTATATTTATTATCAGTTTTAATCTTAACCAGCAAGTATAAATAATTAGCTATTTTTTAAATATGATTTATATAACAAACTTTTGTCAGACTTTTTGTGACAGTGTCAGTCGCTTCTGTTCTTATTCTGATGGCAGCTCAACACTACGTACTGTTTTTCTCCGTTCCTTCAGGCAAATGCCAGGATACTGCCTTACATTAAGCCACTACCGCATCCTTTCCAATTCGTCAATCATTAATCATCCTAACACTCCATGTTTCTAGCCTTAGCTACTGGAAATGACGTTAAATATGACACAAATAAATAAAACATGTTTACCACTATGCTTTAAAGTAAACAAAAAGACCTTTCGAACGTTCAAATCCTTGGTAAAAAAACAGAGTTGCTCTAATTTTTCGGATACTGATTTAAAATCGAATTACGTCGCCATAAATAATTCCAATAGTATGGAGGTATTTCCATAAGTCTCATTAGTCAGTAAGATTGTTAAGTTGGCAACACTGCAGTCAAGTAAGGGCTTTTTTATTTTCTCCAGACACTCTTCTATTCCCCCCCTCTCGGTCTGCTGAACTTTCTAACCACAGAGGAATAGAATTTCATTACGCTACGTACGTTTTATCTTTCACTGTACAACGTGTCCCTATTTATATGAATTTTCCATACATTTGAATTTATGAAAGAGCATTTCAAAAACCTAAAGTGAGTACAATTGTATATTTCTTCTTGTGTGCATATGAATTCGTTGTTTGTTACCAACTTAAGTCGCACGCAGCTTCAGAGGCCTACAGGTTTTTTTACTGATGTGTGTATAAACGTCATCTCCTGTCCGAAGCGTTGGTAATATGTGAAGATGATTGAATGAAATGTGGCCTCTCAAAGAAGCTCATTACATCTGGAAGACGCTAGAGAAATCGGCTTAATGACGAGCTTCAAACAGGACACACATTTAAAACAAGATATAACAAACACGTACAGAATCGCTCCGTCCAGTCTACATTAACAATACTAAAGACTAGTATTACACGCATATTCACAAGAAAGTTCCAAATATTATATGGTATTTCAATTTCTAATATAACTTGATAACTATAACAAATTTTAATGAATTGTAATGTTTTTTTTATAAATTTAACAACCTCGGTAACCGACAGGCCTATTTAGGTAAGATTATACATACATTTTCATAAAAATATAATAAATGAACAAGATACGTTATTAATGATAAGTTTGGTTAGCGTTTACATCCCACCTGCAAGCATAAAGTTTCCCTCCTTAGTTAAACTTAGATTATTATTCCACTGAGCTCTCCTGTTGTTTACGTGCGATTATATTCTCCATTTCCAGTAGTCACTGCCCGTTCTCACATATAGATTAGTCGCGAATGGATTTGAAATTACAATGTGTATAAATTACTACCTAACTCGAAAGCAAAAAGTTTAACAGCGAATCCACGACCAAACCTTTTAACCTCCCCCAATCCAATGTCGCGAAGTGGTGGGGAGTTTACGTTATGAATCGTACTATTTCTCATAACCTTAAGTCTAGGACCTTTTTCCTCATTATACTGTATTATGGATTACCTAACTAATGCCTGGAAAAACGACATATAGTTAAATTTACATTTTAACTTAATGTCTGCAAAAATGAGTGGGCGCTTGCTTTCGTGTAGCTACGAACTTGAATTTCGTCTTCATCCTGCCACGCCCGAGTAGTTACTAAAGATCGTAAATTTAATTTTACGTTTTCCGTAAAAATATTTTAACACATGTGTCTGATGCTTGATCTTTCATCCTACAGTAGAAAAAAAATTAAAGAAAGAAGGAAGGTGTCTGAGAAAAGGAAGCTTGGGCCTAAAACAGAGTTAGCATGGGGCTGGGGAAAATGACAGACTGAGAAATCAAATCAAATATAATTTGAGTGATTATATCAAGGAGGACGAGCCAGGCGGAACACGCAGAACAAATTAGGAGATATTAAGTTCACAAATAATTTTAATCATAAAGTTAGAAGGGAAGAGACCCATTGGGAGACCAAGGCATAGATAAAAACATAATGTTCAAATGGGTTTTAAAGAAATAAGATATGAGAGTGTGAAATGGATTCAACTGGCTCAGGAAAAGGACCAGGGTTTTTAAAAACACCGAACCTTCAGTTTCCATAATAGGCTTGGAATAGCTAGGTTAGCCCAACGACTTCACATAATAGATTCACTCCGTGGGGTGTTCTAATTTTCAGAACGAAGGTGACGAAGTACAGGTTCTTTATGAAATATTGCGTAGCCGAATGACGCAGCGGTAGCGTTCTACAATTGCATCCTGGATTTCACCTGTTCGAATCACGGCCAGGTTATCGAATAGCTTCACTAAGATCTGTAGTTTTCCTCGGCCCCTCTAGATAAATATCAGAATATTACTTTTAAACAGGCCATGACTACCTTGTTCTAAATTCTTGCCTACTCTCCATTTATAATTATATTTTAAATTAAACTACTTTATTTATCCTTGAACATAATTTAGAATGCATTTCCGTCCATGGAGACCAAGGAACGCTAGAGTACATAAGCTCACCTTAAAGTAAGGCATTATTTAAGGTCCTTTTTGCATACAGCAGTTACCGAACTGTTTTAGTTCAATAATGATGATAAGGTAAATGTAGGACTTAGGTGCCAAGCCATGAATACGTACGGCAGTTTGAAGGTAAAGCTCCAGACATTCTTAACGTTAGAACTAGATTTAGTCAAACGACCAGATTCATGCTCCAGCCTCTTTACGTCAAGGGAGACTCCTTACATAATATTTCTCTTCAGTGTGGTAATATACTGATGCAGTACAGGTGGTGATTTTCGGAAGAGTGCCGTCAATCAGAACAACAAAATTTGGAACGCGCCATTCTTCCAATGGAAAAAGACGTAGCTAATGTTTTGCATGAATTTGATAGTGTGCAACAGTCCTATAGCTACGACCTGCAAAGTCAGTCTTCAAGGACATGTCGTAAGATGTCTTGGCTCGGTGTCAATAGTTAAGAACAAACAGTGTTTGAAACCATGTCCAAAGCACAGTTTCTTACTACGCTCGTTGTACACATGCATCTTACACGAGTGCACCCTCAGATGACACATTGGCTGGCTACTGGCCTGCTCATAGAAAGTACTAGCACGAATGAAAAGAATTAGGGCGGCCAGTTGTTACAGCGCTCTGTAAGAGCACCCACTGTGTCACCCCGTCACCTGTCACCCACATATCGACAGTGCCCTTTGTTCTATTTCGATTCAAAATTAATTTTGAAACTGTGAATCCTTACATATTTAACTGCACTCCTTTGACGAAGGTTCGGCTCAAGGCGAGGGCCTTACTTACGCCCTGCTGAGGACAATAGAAATACGGACTTAATCTTTTAAAGCCCAGTGGTATCTACACGTACCACCTGCTTTTATAACCAGTAACTGAATTTTACCCAGTGAGTGTATTCAGTTATTTCGTAAACAGTTATTATTTCCTTAAATAGCATGAACTAACATAACGGAGGGGTGTTATGTTTCCTTCGAGGTACGAAGTGAATGTTTAATAATAGTGAAGTAATAAAAAGGCAAAGTTGCCCCTGTGAAGAAAATCTTAACATATTCTACACGTTAGTTCTATGTTGGAGGTGACTGCTCAGTTTTACACTCGGCAAGTTTTACCTCCTTAAGAATGCAAACGAGGCTGGTGGACCCAGAGCCTGTTTTGACATGGTAAAAAGAAAATGCCTGCCTCTGCCTGGAATTGAATCCTGGCCGCCCAAATAGTAGTCAGTTACTTTACTGGTGATGTTCTGGCTCATGTAAGTAGAAAGTTGAGGCCTATTTTAATGACTATCCCAGTATTTTACAGTGCTAATCTAGCATTTTTCCTGCAGGTTTTGGAAAAAGGTTAAGTTGCCCCTGGACCTTAAGACGGATGGTAAAGTGAGGGTACTTCGGCACTACGTGGGGCCAAGAGTTGCAGAGAAAAACTTATAAAGCCTCAAAACCGAGGTTCGAAATTGAGACCTGAATATTAAGTAGTAATACCAACCACTACTTTCTATTGGTTTTCAATACATTTCCGTCGTCACAATGATTTTTACTTTTATTGGTCACAGTAAAACGGCTATTTCTAGATAACAGCATCGTCAGCGATTATTATTTTTTACACTAATATTTTAAATTGAACTGCTCATCTACTAATTTCTATGTAGAATTGATAGCACAGAACCAAACTGCTCAAAAAGATGTCATGAATACGCCTACACGAATTAAGATGAGGGCAAGAACTTTATAGATGACGACATTCTACATTGATATCGTATGGAATTATGACTGAAAATTGATTTACCTGATGTATGGAGACCCGCTCATCATGCTATCTTTCCCCTGGGCCTATTATTGTACCAGTTAGTGTAAGTTAATCACTTGTGCGTGCGAGGCTTCTGAGTGGCGCCTACTAGACGGCAGCCATACTTGCACGAGACAGGTTGTAGTAATAGTAAAACATAAGTAATAAACCGAACTATATATTCATATACAGATACATTGAAACAACCATCCAAAAGCGTTCAGAACATCTTGTTTGTATAAACACCACATTTATCGGCAGCTCTTACCGATGTAAGGACGGTTACAAGCCAAAGAGTGTTAAGTCAGGAACTTTTGATTCTCTCTTGTTTGTGGAGTGTATAATGATTTTTATACCACAAAAAAGTTGTACTAACAAAAATCAAGTTACCAGTATGAAGTAAAATTTTTCATGAAACATTTTTTGTGCTTAACTTCGATGTTAATTTCAGATGTTTAAATTAATAAAACCTTCTATTTATTTCTGATAAGTTCAATGACTTCCACTCATTGGCATCTGAACTACCTATGCGTATATTTATTTATATCTACATTTACATTAAAAGAAAGACCATTGAGGTCAACGAGAAATTAAGACGATAACATAGATGTCTGTTGTATCTAAATCCAGAGAAAATCACTACTTATTCTAAAAACAAATTAACCAACATTGAACTTATTTAAGTGAAAGAGTGAAGTTTAGAAATTTATGTATTTCATTTCATTTATGGTAACTGTCAGCGCATAAGAGAAGAGCATATAACACATAATATGTCACTAACATAAAATTGCACTGTATTACAATAAAAATTACGATGTTGTCACAAAACTCATACACACTCATCATAATTGGCCATAATACTGCAATTTCAAAATTATAAACATGTAAACTGTGGCCTAATGACTATAACTTCCGAAATATATTTTAAATCTTCTGTAAATACAGAAAATAAAGTATAGTCAGTTGGGCCT